ATGTCACTGAACTGTGCATGTAGACATTTTTGAAATGGTGTATCTTTGGCTATGTATATTTTCAAAAAAAAAAAAAAAAAAATGTTGAGGTAACAGCTATCACTAGTACAGTTTGAGTACATGATGACACAGCTGACGGAAAAAGAAATTCCTCTAGGATTTTGGAAAGCAATCTGACAACATCTATTAAAACTGAAGGATATTCAGCTCCCTCAGCCCAGCAATCCTACTCCTGGGAATTGATCCTACAGAAATTATAAATATTCATGCCTACATATTTAAGGAGATTATTATTTATATTTAGAAAAAAATGTAAACAAAATGAATTTATCAACCAATAAATGGTTGATTAGACTAAGATTTACTCCATACTATGGAATATTGTAAAACCATTAACGATAATGAAAAATAATGAATTATGAGTTGATTTGCAGGGATTTCCAAGAGGCATTTTTTAATGAGAAAATTAAGATGCACAGATGTATGTACAATATGATCTAATTTTTCTAAGACAATCAATCACCAAAAGCACCAACATACTTTCATGTACATGTTGTGTAACTACATATGCATTTAAAAAAAAATGGAAAGACCTACAAAAGCTACTTGGCAAGGGGTATATGCAGGTGGAAGGGTGTTTGTGAGAAAGAGGAAGAAGGTAAGTGAAAATTGGTAGGAAAAAAGAGCACTTAAAAAGTTTCAATTCCTTTTATGTAAGAATTATGTGTGTCTGTTAATTGCATAAAGAAATTAAGGAAAAAGTAAGGTTACATCTATAATATTGAGTTGCTTTGTTAAGCGAAAAAAGCAAGATAAAAGTAACGCTTATAGTATTCTATTAAAGAGAACTTATGTTTGGATTATTAAGGAGAAAAGTATATAAGAATACATAAGAAGCTAACACTGATTCCCTCTAAGGGATGGGATTTGAAAAAGAGCTTTGTTTTCATATATCTTCGAATTGTACTATTTCACGTAAAACAAACAAGTATGACTTACAGTTTTTAAAAATCAGAAAAAGATTTACCTTATATATTTTTAAAAATACGCACCTTGACCTTGCCATACTTTAGAAGGTATTACTAATATTTTGTCACAGGACGCAGAAGGCTGGATCCACCTCCAAACCAGAAAATCTGCACCACCTATTCTTCGTGTTTCTGTGCGAACTCTAGACTCATTAGCAGCAAGGAAGTCAACAGCTCTATCCCAGACTTTCTTCATTTTTTTTCTATCATGTGAACAAAATGACAAATTTACTCTCACCTTGGTTGTCTTCTTTTTCAAACCGTAGTAACTGAAGGCAGTGGTTCTTAACTTGGGCTGTTCTCATCACTGCTTACGGGTGTTTTAAAAATAAGATTTACATGCCTGAGCCTCACCTTGGATTACTGAATTTCCATCCCCAGAGGTGGAGCATGAGCATCTGTATTTTTTCCCCCAAAAGCTCCACTGCTGATTCTGATGTGTTGCTAGTGTTAAGAATGTTGATTTAAGACATGGCATCATCTTTTATTTTCAAAAACTTATCATTTAGTTCTTTTATTTAAAAAGCTTCTTGAATAACAAAATAAAGTATTTTGAAGCACATTATTAGAAAAACACCACTGGCTGTAATGTTTGCCTCTGTTTATTTACCAATGAAATTAAAGCAAATAAGGTACAGACTGACAACAAAGAATCAAGAATGTATAGGAATGAGAATGACTTAGAAATTTAGCTGTCATACCACTCAAAATCAGAAGGGTAACAGAAGAGAATTTAGAAAGTAGGGTTGCAAGTACCCAAAAAAGCCTGTACAGTACAAAAGGTCTAGCTGAGACTACTTTCTATATAACTTTCAACACTACAGAAGATACCTACATTTTCATTTGTGTTAACTCAAAAAGTTTTTAACACACCTGTCATGAGGCTGTATTAAGGAATCTCGCACATGTGGAATAGGCATGTAGGGTTGTAAATCTTTATTTTCCTGGCAAGCTTCATTATGACTTCGTAAAACATCTGAAAATAAATCAAACGAATGAATCAATCATTTGCCATCATATGGTAATTTATCACTTAATGAATATTCTAGAAATCATTTAGATTTTAAAAACACCATACCTATAATCTTTACCACCATATCGTACATCTGCCTTGTTTCCTCTTCCTCTTTTGTCCAGCGATATTTCATGTAGCGCAGAACCACACACACCATCACTACACCTGCAATATTTATAGACTTTGTGTTATAAAAATTGTGGTCAATACCATTCAATAATATTGCAACTTGAAACTATTGGGTAACCAGTTGATAAATCTGGTATTTAAAAAAAAAAGCAAAATTAAACAACGACAAAAACAAACAGAAGAAACTTATGACATTTTCTATAATGATTATTTTAACTGCCATAATGGAGTAATGGAATCAGTCCTCAAGACAGGTTGAATTATATATATAATTAAAACTACATAGAAAAGTTTAATATTACAGAGTTTCCAGAGTTTCACTTAATCTCTCTAGAAAAAATATTTCTTTCATTACATTGACAACTGAACATTTAAATTCTAAGTACTATTTTTTTTTAAAACACAATAACGTAACTATGCTTCATAAGCTTTTTCTTTTGCAGCATTAAACTACTGGAAAAGTGAGTCTCATAAGAATGAAAACATACTAAATCTTACTTTTGAGAAAACTGAATTATTTTTATAAGACTTGAAAAGTAATGGGAAAAAAAGGAAATGAGTAACTCCAAAATTCCTATTTTTAATCAAAATAGTCACATAAAATCAGGATTAAAATTTTAATTCAGGTAAATAATATTTTTTAAATAAAAAATAATTTTAATAAACTTATAATTTTTTATGTTTTTCAGTTCTATTTTCTGGAGAAGGTTTCTATGTATGCACTACACTTGCTTTGTCTGTGACATTCTCTGACAAAGTTTTATTTCCATCTCTCCTTAAGGTACTATTTTCTAAGCCCTTACACTGATACTGACATTATAAAAACATCCAACTTTATTATATTTTAATGAAGACCTTCTGATAGGATTTGCATGGCAACTATCACAGAAATGAATCTTCAACCTTCGTCATTTAGCACAATACAGACATACAAAAATTCTATAATGCAACGTATCTTCTTTCTCATGAACAACTGAATCAGGGCTTTACCCCTTACAACTTACCTAAGCATAACAACAATAACCTGTGGGTTACTGTAATAAAAGCACGTCGAAAACGACACCAGAAAGACATCTGTGGTCTTGTGGACTGTAAAAATTGCACATGAGTTATATTTGTCAATTCTTCATCAGGGTCATATCCGACACACCTATTTAAAAATAATTAAAGGAGAGCTTAAAATCAAAAGTCACTTCTTCCAAGTACAAAATGGTCAAAGTGGAAATCAAATCCTTTACCTTATACCAACATCTTTTCCATTTTCTAAAATCCACAGCAATGAGATGTTAAATATATCTCCATATTCAGGACCTAATTCCTAACCAGAAAAATAGAGAAAATAACTAACTATTCTTAATAATTCACATTTTTAAAAAAATCCATAACAAGAGTTTCATATTATGTCCAGGCATGTATAGGACATGTAAGGTGTCCTATAAACAACATACATTATCTTTATATAACATGTTTTAATTACCTAATATACTAAAAATGAATTATTAATTACAGATAAACACAAAGGAGAAAAAGAAGGAAAAAAAGTCACAATTTTCCCACTACCCCAAGATAACCATTGTTAATACTTCGCTGTTTTCGTCTCTCTCTCTCACTTTTTAAAATATTTAGATTTGGGGTTTCTTTTTTTCAATAGTATGTGTTTAAAGTATCACTGTTATAAGACTGAATTAGCCACCTTTTTGTAGGACATTATTTTTAGATGAAAGAAATGACAACTATTCAGACCAGGGTGTTTTACAGACATTCTCTCAACAAAATGAAGTGTGCTTGTCACCTTAAGAAAAAAAAAAAAAAAAATGACAGTGTTACCAATGATAAAATTCAAGCTTTCAAGTGAAAAGCAGAATTTTGAAAAACTTCCATCACTGTGAGTTTTACAGCTTCTCAATACTCGAAGACTTTTCCAATGAGATTAGTGGTGATCATATTAAAACAACTTAGCAGTGTCACATTAGGATATATACTACACAGATCAAATAAAAGACTTGTAATTAATGTGACTTGTAATTAATTAATGTGACTGGTAAATACCTACCTATCTATTCCATGAACAAAAGCTATTTGGGGTCTTTAGTAATTCTAGTAAAAAGGTAATTTTAGTAAAAGGGTCCTGATACCAAGAGGTGTAAGAACTGCTACATAAGGGTATGTGGGTATATGTGTGTGTGTGTGTGTCTGTGTGTGTTTAATATGGCATAATTGTATGTATCAACATCGGAAGATCTGCATAACTCAGTAAACCAATTTTTTTCAAATCGCCAATTCATTATGTTGTATAACCATGCATGAGGAAAAGATCCATTCAAAGTGCAAACTAGGGCAAAGGATTTTATGAAACTCAGTACAAAAAGTTCACTGATATGGTTTCAACTCCACATTGCAACTAACCTTTAAGAACTACCTGTAGAATTCTGATGTAGTATCAGAGAAAAATATCTACAATTATCTGAAAAGGTTATTAAGATAATTTTCCTTGTTTTGATTACATATCCGTGTAAAGCTGGATTTTCTTCATGTACGTCAACCAAAACAGGAGATATGAGAATCCAGTTGTCTTCTATTAAGCTAGACATTAAAGAGATTTGCAAAAATCTCAAACACCACCACTCTTCTCCCTATATGGAGCCCAAGTGGCGTAGTGGTTAAGAGCTCAGCTGCTAACCAAAAGCTCAGCAGTTCGAACCCAGCAGCCGCTGCCTGGCTCTGCGGCAGTTCTACTCTGTCCTATAGTGTCGCTATGAGTTGGAACTGACTCGACGGCAATGGGTTGTTGTTGTTTTCACTGTTTTTATTTTGGAAAATATAGTTTTTTTTTCATAAAAATACATTATTTATGTTAACATGCAATATGCTCGTTATTCTTAATGAAAAAGTTAATTTAAAATTTTTCTTCAATTTTATAATTTGGTAAATACTTATCTATCTAGCTATCTCATGAACAAAAGCTATTTGGGGTCTTTAGTAATTTCAGGTGTATAAAAGGGTCCTGATACCAAGAGATACAAGAACTGTTACATAAGGTTGCATTTTTAAAAAACAAAATATTAAAAAAAATTAAGTGAGATCATATCTATACTGCTCTTCCACTTGCTTTTTTCACAGAACAAAGTGTTGTGAGTTTCTATGTCAGAATACATGGAACTCCAATTTTTTATTTTTATTTTTTAACAGCAAAATAAGTATCCTATTGTATGGTTATTCTATACTTTTAACTAATCTACCCCTTACTGATGAACATTTAGTATTTCCAATTTTTAAATACATCAAATAATACTGTAATAAACATCTTTCATTTAGTCAACAAATATGCATTAAAATCCCACTATGTGCCAAGTGGAGCCCTGGTGGTGCAGTGGTTAAGAGCTCAGCTGTTAACCAAAAGGTCAGTAGTTCAAATCTACAAGCTGCTCCTTGGAAACCCTATGGGGCAGTTCTACTCTGCCCTATAGGGTTGCTTTGAGTCAGAATTGACTCAGTATCAATGGATTTGGTTTGGTTTTTTGGTATGTACCAGGTACTGTTGTTTCAGTTACTAGAGATGTAACGCTGAACAAAGAACAGATGGAACACTGAAGTTACAACTCCCTGTGTTCATGGAGCATATATTCTATTAGAAAGTATGTCTTTAAGAACTTTTGAAGTGCAAAGAATGAATTTCTAAAAGTAGAAATAAGTTATTTTTAAAAATCACTTTAAAAAATTTTTATAAGAAATATTGTATTTTAACAACAGATTCTTCAAGCGTTGGAAATTACAAGGCTTTTATTTGATCAGTATAGTATATACTCTAATATGACACTGGTAAGTTATTTTAATATATCAAATTTACAAATGTAATAAAATGTTTTACCAAACTGAACTAAATTGCTAGGCATCACTACCTATGTGTAAATATAACCAGGATTTTTCAGATGATGAAGATAATTGTAGGTCATCTGTTACCCATCCTCCCCCCACGAAAAGTGTGGTTATTCATTATAGCATTATTTATAAACACTAAAAAATTTGTAGCCAGTGTAAATATTTAATAATTGAGAAATGTTTATATCTGAGATCATTTCAATGGGATATTATAAACTAAGAAATGATCACTGATGAAAGCTAAATAACCATATGCTTAAAAAAAACAAAATTTAATTTACATATAACTAAAAGATGTGCACATACGAACAGGAGCTAGAAAGAAATAAGGAAAAAGATTTCTGTTAAAGTTTTAATACTGCTTTAAAGTGTTATGCAATAGAATTATACAAAATAATTTCTGGTCATCATTGTTTTAATTGTTATAAATAACATTATTAGAAATCATTTTGTAAATAACTAAAACCAAACAGAATTCATATTCACTTGCTCTAAAATTAGAGAAGAAAAATAGTTCTAAACATAGAAAGATAAAGGAGTATCAAGAGAGTGTACTTCTGTTACACTGCATGGATCAGGATTAAACAAAGCACAAATTATACAGGACTTTGCAAATCTATAAAGCAAGCTTAATATGGGTTACCCATGGTGCTGGAGACATGACTGTGGTTATTCTTTTTTGTAACGTTATTGACTAGTTTAGGTTTTTAAAAAAGGTTTCATACTCATTTATTTCCTCTAAAGACATGGAGATAATAAAATCTTCAAAGACATGGATGTTATAAAAATCAGTGAAATATATGTCATATTTATCTGTGTTTATATACATGTTCCTGGAGCCCTGGTGGCGCAGTGGTTAAGCGCTCAGGCTGCTAACCAAAAGGCTGGCAGTTCGAATCTACTAGCTGCTCCTTGTAAATCCTATGGGGGCAGTTATACTACTATAGGGTTGTTATGACTCGAAATCAACTTGACAGCAACAGGTTTGGTTTTCTGGTTTTTATATACATGCTCAGGAGTCTCTGGGTGGTGCAAATGGCTAAGCGCTCAACTACTAACCAAAAGGCTGGCAGTATGGACCCTCCAGAGGCACCTCAGAAGAAAGGCCTGGTTATATGCTTCTGAAAGGTCACAGCCTTAAAACTCTACGGAGCTGTTCTACTTTGCAACACATGGTGTCACAATGAGTCGGAAATGACTTGACGACAACAACTGTGTTTTTTTTATACCTGCTCTTCAGCTTGTATGACTACAATATGCAGAGAATTAGAACATGCTTGGTATTACAACATAGAACTTCGAAGACTAGACTATAATGTAAATTTCAGATAATGTGAAAACAAATTTTCAAGTTTGCTAGTTGTATGTTTTAAATATAAAAATACTTTTAGGAGGCAGAAGACATTGTAAATAGCATTACTATCCTCATAAATTATCCTTAAAAATGTAAATAATGGTTCAAATTAATAAGGAGACCCTCCCTAATAAGCTGTACATGAGAAGGAACAAAGAGCCTAAAACTTGTGATTATAAGAGTAAGAAAACGGTAGCTGTTGTTATTTTCCCATTATCTGCTTTTTCTTTCCCATGTTAATAACATTCAATATTCACTCCTTGGTGGCACAGTGGCTAACAGTTTGGCTGCTAACCAAAAGGTTGGCAGTTCAAATCCACCAGCTGCTCCTTGGAAACTCTATGGGGCAGTTTTATTCCATCCTATAGGGTCGCTATGAGTCGGAACTGACTTGATGGCAATGGGTTTGGTTTTTTTTTTGGTATTTAGAATACAGTAGAACCATGGAATATCCACTTTATGAATATACAGTCTCAAAAAACAATTGATACTTTATTTATAACCTCAATTAAAGGTTCAATAGGGTGTTGATGTCTTAAACAGGCCATTACTTCCACAAATATTCTATACAAAATATAGACCGCTACAATGCTATGAAGTGGAATTTTTATAGATATATAAAAGTTGGATTTTTCTAGTTTAAATAACTTAGATTAATCTTATAGCATACATAGATAGCATCTACCTTATTTTATATAAGAATCTAAACTGTTTTATTATTCACTTTTGTAACTCCCTGCAAAGCGGTAGGTAAGGCAGTTGTAGGCAAACTTTTTCCGTAAAGGACCAGAGAGAAAATATTTTAGGCTTTGTAGCTATATACATCTCTGGTCTCTGTGTATAATTTTTTTTTTTTCTAAAGTAACCCTTTAAAAAGGTTGTAAAAACCATAGCTCCCAGACCATACAAAAAACAGGCCACAGGCTGGATTTGTCCTGTGGGTAGTAGTTTGCCAACCCCTTAGGTAAGGCATTCCAGCACATAAAACAAACATTTTCCAATAACTGATGAAAAAATCAGGAGGAAACTTAAGTTTTTAATTTTTAAAGCAGGTCTAATGAGTACTATTTACACAAACAGAACGG